GTGCATAGCAGGCTTGTCCCTAAGAGCTGGGCCAGGGAAGAACCCAAATGTCCATTGCGAGGGGAAGGTGTAGACACACAGAGGATGCTGCTCAGCAGTGAGGAAGGGCACATCACCGATGCGGCTGCACGAGCACATCTCAGCAAAAGAAGTTCACGGACACGGAAGACACCTCTGAGTCATGCTGTCTGATGTCACTTCTCTGATGCTGGAAGCCGTGCGAATCAGAAAGTAGGCCCGTGGTTGCCAGATGTGGGGAAGATGGATGCGAAGGGGTGGGAGGCTGGAGGAAACGTGGTGTGGCTCGATTTTGTGGTACTTATGCGAGTTTATACATCTGTCCAAACTCAGACGACCGCCTGCCCGAGATACGAGCGCGCCGTCTGTGAATCACACATCAGTGGATTGTCACCTGCCTCCGCGCCTTGCTTCCGCAAGATACTCACGTCTCTGACTCCCGATGGCTGCGTCTGAAAATTGGGACTACAACCGCATCGACTTCACAGGGTTGTTGGGACGATTTAGGAAGAGACCATGTTGTTTCGGGGCCTGGCACGGAACTTAAAATACGAGCATTAGTGGATTTTTTCCTGATCAAATCATGACAGAATGAGGTTCGTGGTTCATGTCACTTTAGAAGAGCTGCATCTGCAGCACTCAGGGTCCTGTGCACATCTGCCCGCCGCCCGCAGATCACGAGGCAGAACACACACATCACACCCCGGAAAAGCACCTTCTCTTCTGCCGGCTCTCAGCTGGGATGTCGAGCTCAGCCTCCTCCCTGTGCCGTGTGACAGTTGTGGACCCGGGTCCAGAGAGGAGGCCCAGCCCTTGAGGATTAAGCGAACTTTCGTTGGGGCAGAGCTGTCCCGTGAAATCCAGGCTGACGTGAATTCAAATGGGCTCATTTGACCAGCGAGGTGTCAGAACAACACATCTTAGCTTGCGCCTGGTGCCCTGTTTCACTGCGTTTTTCTGCCCTCCCCGTCTGTGACTGCCGCCTGCCCACAGGCTGGCCTCAGCCACGTGCCTTAGGATTGCTATCACATAACAACTCCTGTGCACGCAGTCAGTGCCTCCCCTGTGCACCCCAGTTACATCGCACCAGACCGGCGACCCCACGCGTTCCCCTGCAGAGCCTCCCGAAGCAGGCGGCCTCCAGCCCGGGCGTTTTGTGCGGGTTCCTGGAAGGAGCTGGAAGGGTTTCTGACACGGGGCGATCTGCACTCCTGATCTCAGGTATCCGAGCTGTGTTCCCTCAGCCCACAGGGGGTTTCGGTGTCAGAGAAGAGTGGAGGATGCGTGAGGGTTGAGGCGAAGCCCAGCGTCGGACGAGGCTGGGTTCGGCACGGCTCGTGCAAGACAGGGCTTTGTGTTTGCATCCCTGCCTTCAGGAAGCCTTTCTGCCTGCAACTCCCCTCTGTGTTGACTTTTAATTCCATAAGTTCCCCTCCTTTGAGTTTTGCTCGAGTTTACTTAAAAACACACTGGGTGCTGACAACCTGTGGAATGTTCGACTTGTTCTTTAGGCAGTTTGCCTCGGGGGTGAGTGTGACCGAGGGTCAGCTCTGATCTTTGTTGGCCACAGGACTTGGGGCGGGACCCTCAGCTCCGGCCACCAGCCACCCTGGTCATGCTCACGTTTCCCTCAGGGTCTTTGCATTTGCTGTCTGGGTGCCCGGCCCGCTCACCCAGGATTTCCGAGGATGGCTCCTCATTCGGATCTCAGCTTAAATGCCCTCTGTTCAGGGGTGGGCGCCTGGCTGGCTCCGTTGCTGGGGCGCGTGACTCTTGAGTACCTCCTTGCAGGGCTAGTGAAAATTATGTGAGGGGCGCCCGGGTGGCTCAGTCGTTAAGTGTCTGCCTTCAGCTCAGGCCATGATCTCAGGGTCCTGGGATAGAGCCCCGCATCGGGCTCTCTGCTCAGTGGGGAGTCTGTTTCTCCCTCTCCCTCTGCTGCTCCCCCTGCTCGTGCTCTCTGTCTCAAATAAATAAATATATTAAAAAAAAAAAGAAAATGATGTGAGAAAATGTTTGTAAAGGGCGTGGCATACAGTGAGTGTGCTGTGAACAGTGGCCCCGGTCATGATTATGTCTGCCTGTGTTTCACCACCCGCCCCCGGACCGGGAAGCCCGTCTGGGGCCCGGATCAGGTCTTATCTGCATGCTTCAAATTGCTATGCGTGTAGTAGACGCTCAGTAAGACACTGCTTAAATGAAATAAAATTTCCTCCCAGTAGATCAAGGCCTCGAGTAAATGAAATAGAATAGACACCAACTTCAGGGAAGCTCATCTTTTATTTTTTATTTGTTGAAAGATTTATTTATTTTAGAGAGAGGGAGGGAGGGAGAGAAGGCCAAGCAGGCCTCCCTGCTGAGCACGGAGTTTGATGCAGGGCTTGATCCCATGACCCTGAGATCATGACCTGAGCCGAAGTCAAGGGTCACACGTTAGCGGATGGAGCCCCCCAGGCGCCAGGTGAGCTCATCTTTTAGACTCAGCCCAAGAGCCATCCTCTGTCCTCCCTGTGAGGGTTTTCCAGACTGCCCCGTCCTGCGAGGGTGGGGGATCAGGTGACATCTCTACATTTGATGTCACTCGGGCTCATGGACGCACTTTCCTCTAGGAGGCTGCTCGGACTTTGACTCTTATTTATCGTAGCACCCACGCCGCCTGGCCATGAGCCCCCAGCCCTCCGTGTAGAAGTGTTTAGGACAGGAGAGCTGTTAAGGGACAATGGCCTAGTGATTAAGAATGCAGACTCTGGACTCAGAGCCCCTGGGCTCAAATCCCAGCTCTGCCCCTCACCCACTGGGAGGCTGTGGACAAATGACTTAACTTCTCTGGGTCTCAGCTTCCTTCACAAAACCAGGATCGCAGAGGTCCCAGCCTCACCGTCATTGTGGCAATGGTCAGATTCCCTATACACACGGTGCTCAAAATAGTGCCTTCACTTCTGTAAGTGTACCTCATGTCACAAAGTCATGCCCCAGACAGTTCTCGGCTCCTACCAGACATTCGGCAGTGTTTGCCGGAGTAACCCGAAAACTTGTATGTAAATTGATTTTCCCTCCTTCCCTCCCTCCCTCCCTCCTTTCCTTCCTTCCTTCCTTCCTTCCTTCCTTCCTTCCTTCCTTCCTTCCTTCCTTCCTTCCTTCCTTCCTTCCTTCCTTCCTTCCTTTTTTGGTAAATAAAAGCATATTTAAATGGACAGGGAGAGCTTGTTGGTCCTTTGTAATACGTATAAGCATGCCTTGGGCGATGTTTTTTTTCCTGATTTCATATTTATCCTAAGAGATGTGGTAAATGTGACGTATATTTGAGAATGGAGCTATACTTTCCCCCAAATCATTTTATTAACACTTTCAGAGAAGAAATTACTGAAAGAAAAGGAAAAACTTCACTAGCTAGAGCTTGGGGCCTCACTGATCCGAAGTGAAAATTTTATTCATTCATTTGAGAGAGCGAGAGCACAAGCATGGGGGAGAAGGAGCAGAGGGAGAGGGAGAAGCAGGCCTCCGGCGGAGCAGGGAGCCCGACGTGGGGCTCGATCCCAGGACCCCGGGAAGGCAGATGCTTCACCAACTGAGTCTCCCAGGCGCCTCCCCTTTTTTTAAAGTAGGTTCCACGCCCAACGTGGAGCCCCATGCGGGTCTCGAACGCACGACCCTGAGATCAAGACCTGAGCTGAGACCGAGTCGGACGTTCAACTGACTGAGGCCCCCAGGCGCCCCTCCTACTTCAGATTTATAGTCCTTCCAAGTTGGCCTCCTCTGTGGACCTTTTCAAAACTTCTCTGGGCCTCAGGTAGAGCGGTACACACGAGCTCGGCCAGGACTTGTAGAAAGGCGCCCCCTCCTCACGCTGGGCAACGCTAGGGGTGCAGTGGGATATGTTCCTGGTGACGAATAACTACCGTGAGCTCACGCGTAACTGTTACTGGACATCTAAGTGTCACCACAGAAAACCTTCTGATGAGGTTTTCCGTTTCTAATTGAACATGCTTGCCTTCCTGTAATAAGTAACTGCTGGTAAAGTGTGCGCTGGCAAAAGGGAACATCAAGAACTTCAAGGAACTGGTCCTTTCCGCCAAGGAGCTGTGGCCATTTATCTATAAACCAGTGTGTTTTGTACAGGTACTCTTGAAAAATATTTGAATAAAGCCCATTTAAAAATGGTTTAAAATGGTTTTTTAATGACAAGAATGCAATTCATTCCAACCTAATATTTTACTAGAGACCGGGAAGAGATGCATACGTTCCTCACTGTGGAATCAAAACCCCTCTGCGCCGGGGACAACGGAGGCCACGGCCGCCCGTGATGATGGCCAGGGGCCTTCGTGACGTCTTGGCACTCGAGAGCGTCTATCGTCAGTATGCTGGGCTAGACTTCTCTTGCTTGTCCATAATGAAGCCTTGATTCAAGCTTCTGAAATCTATGTCATCCTGTAGATTTTCTTTGTGTTCAGGTGCTGCTAGAATTACATAGTTCTTCACGGATGCTGACCTCACGGGCCAACCATCAGCAATGGGTTTGGGTTCCACAGATCTTTCACCCTCGTCAACCTGAGCCTCTTATAGGCATTTAAGAGACAGCGCTTTGGGGTGACAAGCAGAATCTGTGGCCATAAGATAGGACAACATGCCGGATGCCGTGGACCTCGTTGTGTCCCCTCAAAATTCACATGCTGAAGCCTTGCCCCGCAATGTGATGGTATTCGGGGGTGGGGCCTTTGGAAGATCATTACATTCATGTGCAGTCATGAGGCTGGGGCCCCCTATTGAGATCCTGTAAGAATCCTTTATAAGAAGACACACCAGGGAGCTTGCTTCTCGTTCTGCCCCAGCGTGTGAGGACTCACTTCGAAGACGCCAGTCGGCTAGTGAGGAAGCGAGCCCTCACCAGGGTACAGAGTTGGTGGGCACCATGATCTCAGACTTCCCAGCCTCCAGACCCCTGAAAAAATAAATTCCTGTAGCTTCAGCTGCCTAGACTGTGATATGTTTTTTTTTAAAGATTTTATTTATTTATTTGAGAGAGAGCATGAATGGGGGAGGGGCAGAGGGAGAAGCTGGCTCCCCGCAGAGCAGGGAGCCCGACTCGGACTCGATCTCAGGACCGCAGGATCACGGCCCGAGCCGAAGGCAGCCGCTCAGCCGACAGAGCCGCCCAGGCGCCCCTGGGCTGTGCTGTTTTACAGCAGAAAGCTGACCGTCGCTCCACCTTGAACCACATGCGCTGTAGGCAAATGAACAAGTCATTCATTTAATTCCCTGTCTTGTTCGTTTGAGCGTTCACCCCGGGCCATGTCCTGGGCCCCGTTGTAGGCAGTGAAGAACCAGTGGGAAGCAGGGTTGAGTAGAAGTCCCTACTCTGTGGCTTGCAGTCCTGGCGGGGAGACATATGCACTGAGTCACACTGGCGACCCAAGCCAGGCTGAACGTGCAGAGGTGACGTGGGGCACGGAGGGAGGGCCTTGGCGGGAGCAAGGAGGGCAGAGTTGGCAAGGCGGAGTCTCAGAGGGCGCGGGGCAGGGACGGGTGCTCAGGGGCGCGGAGGCCGTGCTGAGGAGGGGCTTGAAGCAGGGCTGTCTGCGAGGGTGGGAGCTTGAGGGGTGACGGGAGCTTGGACGGGGCACTTGTGGGGCTAGGACGCAGGGAGTGTGAAGACATATTTAGGAGCCAGAAAGGACAGAGCTTGGTGACTGAGCACAGGTTAGAGGGCAGGGAGAGAAAGTCCAGCATGATGCCTCGCTCTCTGGCTTGAGAGAGGGGATCAGCACCTGGGCCATCCTCACAGACAGAAAGTACTGGACGATGGCCAGACTGGGGAGAAAGGCCATGCATTTGGTTCTAGATGAGCTGCATCGGCCATGCCTCGAGGCAGCCATGAGGAGCAAGCAGGCCTTTGGACGTGACCGGACAGGGTCCCCAGCACCGTCCAAGCCAATTGAAACGAATACAACACTGTACGTTAGTTATACCGGAATTCAAGTTTTAAAAAAATCACAACTGTGGCTTCTCACGTGCTCTGGCCACATCCCACCGCTACACGTGGCCCGTGGCTTTCGCATTCAGCAGCATGGTTCTAGGGCCCAGAGAAGCAGACCAGACCGAGATGTGGACTTGGCCCCGTGTGCAGGTGACAGGACTGTGGATCTAGGAGGAAGGCCGGAAAGGGTGAGGCCTGAGCCTTGCGTCAGCGCTGCTGGGGAAGAACGAGGCTCAAGGACATGGAAAAGAGGCAGGCGGGGAGGGGGAGCCCCGGGAGCCCCGTCCTGAAGTCCAGTGGGAAGCGCGCTGGGAAGCAGAGGGGATGAGCATCGCTCTGAAGACGACGGAAAACATTTATTGCATCCGTGAAATAAAGGTTGCTGGTGCCTTTGGCAAGGCTGTTTCAGATGAGGGAGGGGGCCGCAAGGCAGACAGGGTGAGTGAGGGGAGGCCAGGGGTGAGGACAGAGAGCAGCCAACAGGGGGTAACAACGCCACGAGTTATGAGGGACGCACGGAATTCCTTAAAGCACATAGAGCTACGGCCGACAGCACAGACAGATGTCTTCAGAGCCCTGAGTTTGTCCCGCATGTTTACCAATTTTGAGTCTTGTCACGAACAGAGAGGCGTGCGCAGTTCCGTTCCTCCTTCCCATCCTCGCTCTCATGCAGAACAGGGGTGAGCTGGGCCTTGGGGGCCATGCTCACTGCAGGTGATCCCCACAGCGATGGACAGCCCCCGAAGGCTTTCATGTTTCCTTTTTAGAAACATGGTATTTTCTAGAATTTAGAGCAGACACAAGAAGACAGAGAAGTATAATGAACATCTGTGTGCTGCTCACCAGCGGGCCCCACGCCCTCCGGCCGAGCACGCGACCCCATGCACGCGCCCACCCCGTCGCTGTGACTCGGGAGCTGGGGAGTGACATCTCGCGCTTCGGCTGAGAAGACTCTGCGTCTGCTTGCTAGGGCAGGAGCGGGCCCTTCCCCGGAAAGAGCCGGAGACGGCACACTTCCGGCTTTGGGGGTCCCACGTGAGAGCGGCGGACAAGTGTCAACCAGTGAGTGGGGCTGAGAGCCAACAACAAGGCCGCTGAGATTTGAGTTTCATGTGATTTTCGTGTGTCACAAATCTACCGCTGCCTTCTTGGGCTCCTCCCCCCACCCCAACCGGTAAACAACGTCAAAACCATTTTTGCTCATAGGCAATACACAAACAGGCGGAGGGCCAGATTTGGGCTTCGGTTTGTCCACCGTGAGGGTGGAGAATGGATCGGAGGGAGCAAGAGGGTGCACGGGGTGACCCCCCAAGGATGCGCAGGGAGACCCCCCCAGGCTACGGCAGGAGGCAGAGACGAGACTTTACCAAACCTGCAGAGACAAGAGAGAATGGTAAACTTAAACGATTGTTATTAAGTACCATCCATTCTTTGCCCTATGCACAATGTTAGGGCTGAACATAGACAAATACGTGAATAAACGCATAACAGTTTTTGTCATTTAGTCTAGTTAGGGAGAAAGATGTGTTTTTTTCCTGTATCACATGGTGTAAGCATCATGATCGATCAATCAATCAATCAATCAAATGGGGTGCCTGGGTGGCTCACTCTGTTGAGCGTCCGACTCTTGGTTTCAGCTCGGGTCCTGATCTCAGGGTCGTAGGATCGAGCCCCGAGTCGGGCTCTGCGATCGGCAGGGAGTCTGCTGGACATTCTCCCTCTGCCCCTCTCCCGGCTTGTGCTCGCTCTCTCTCTCTAAGCACACAATAAGCATGTGTATGTATATTCATACATTCGTGCACATCTGTAAATGGCTATGGGATATGCATGAGGTATTCATTCCAACGTGACTTCCATCGTGAGTGTCTTCCATCAAGGCGAGCACTTGACCCATGAGTAGAAGTAGGGTAAGGGGGGAAGGTGTCCAAGGCAAAGGGAAAACACGGGTGGATGTAGGGAGGCTTTCCACAGAAGCCTCTGCCCCATCTCCCTTTTGGGTTATTACTCTCTGGAGGGGAATGCGGGAGAGCATGGAGCAAATCTGCAGGCTAAAGAGAAGGTACTGTAGCCTGCAACCAGCTTCCGAGTGGTAAAGAGACGTGTTTTCTGTTGAGAACTGGAAGTTTTGCAACCGATGCCCAGAATTCTTTTTCTAGGTGAATGTGGATCATGATATCTTAGGTGGTTGCTGAGATTTCGTTGTGTGCAAGAAAAGAATGAAAACCAGTGTAAAACGAGGTCAGGTTTTTTTAGTGCTAAATGGTCCTTTTATGAGCTGTGGGTTGCCAACAAGGGTCCTTGCAGGATGGGATGCCCTGCTCACTGTCTTCTGCCCCAGCGGGTGGCAGCTTCGACCTCCGGGACAAACATCTTGGACTTATCCTTGACTTCCTTCTCTCATATCCGTAGCTAACTGGTCAGGGAATTCTGTGGGGTCGGCCTTCAGAACACATCCCAAACCTGAGCACCCTCACCCTGGCCAGGCCACCGCCTACGCCACTCCTGTGTTTGGCCTGGAGGACTGCAAGAGCTTCCTGCAGGTTCTGTGCTAAGGTCGGGCGGGTTCTGCACAGCAGTCAGAGTGATCCCAGGAAACAGGAGTCAGATCCTCTGCTGCCAACCTTCCCAGGGCTCTCCACTTCACAGGGAGGGAGGCCCACAAGTTGGGGGGTATCACTCTGCCGTCCCCCTGCGGTCTCTGCAGCTATCCTGGCTCCCCACCGCCCTGCCCCACACCCCGCAGGCTTCCTGGAGGCCTTCACACTGGCCGTTGCCTCCTCCTGGAAGCCTTCCCTCCTGCACCGGTGCTCCACTAGCTCCCCAGCCTCAGGTCTGGGTCCTGGGTCCCGGAAGCCCGCCTGGACCACCCTCTTTAGAGTTGTACCTGCAGGCCCCTCCCCCAACCTCCTTCAGTTTTGTCCTTAGGACTGTAATTTGTGTAATCATTGATTATTGATACCTGTCGCTATTGGTTTGACCACGCATCTGAGGTTTGTTTTGTGCATGTGTAGGGCGGGACTCACAACACGCCGGGCGCCGAAAAGTACAGAACCAACGCAGGGACGGAGCCCCTTTGCTTAGTTCGGGACAGTCCTCCCATGTACCCAGACTTCACACCGCCGTTTTGGAGAAGTTTACATCCCAATGGAATTCACCGCACTTCACTCTTTCCAGGTATGAAGCCGGGGTGTGCGACACGGGATTTGGCGAATATCTGGGAGGGGGTGCGGGACCCAGGACGCGCTGCCTGTCCTGGAGCTGGGTACGGCAGGCGCTCTCCTCGCCTCGCTCCCTTCTCAGCCTCGCTGCGGAGGAGGCACCCCCGGAGGGCCCCCCACTGGAGAGCCCGCACCTCGGGGGCTGCCCGCCACCCAGGTCTTCCCCGGAGCGCCCCCCCCACGGAGGCTGCCCCCCACCGGAGCGCCCCCCCCACGGAGGCTGCCCCCCACCGGAGAGCCCCCCACGGAGGCGGCCCCCCCACCGGAGCGCCCCCCTCTTCGGGGGCTGCCCCCCCACCCGGCCTTTCCCCGGAGGCGCCCCCCACTGGGGCAGCCCCCCCCGCCCCCGGCTTCCGCGAGGCCGCGCCGCCCCGCCCCCGCCCCTCCCACAGCGGGCGCCCGCCGCGGGGCCGCGGAAGCGAGCGCCCCCACAGGCGGAGGTCCGACCGGCTTAAGCCTCAGAAAAGCGGCTCCTCGGAAGGCCGCTCGGCACACTTTTAACCGTTTTGGAGGCTTGTTTATTGTGACTGTAGCAAAAATATGTACGATCTACCTTGAAGTCATTTTTAAGTGTATTCCTCTATTTAGTGAAGGCGAGTCAGACCAGAGTCTCACACTGGAACCTGGGCGTCCGGCAAAGAGGCGAAGGCGCCGGCAGCGAACCCACGTCTCACTGGCCGCCCCGCCGGCGCAGGCGCGCTCCCGGCCCGCCCCCACTCACCGCCGCGCGCTCCCGGCCCCGCCCGCGCTCCCGGCCCCGCCCGCGCAGGCGCGCTCCCGGCCCGCCCCGCCCCCACCGCCGCGCGCGGGGGGCGGAGCGCAGAGGGCGCGCGGGCCGTCGCGGGCGCCGAGGAGACAAAGCCGCGTCGGGGCCGCGGGGGGTGGGCCCGGGGCTCGGTGGCGCCCCCGTCCGCTGGGAGGGCTCGGCGGACCGCCCACGCTGCGGACGCCTCGCAACAGGTCGGCCGCCTTCCGGGAGCCTCGCCCTGCGCCGCCGCCCCCGCTCCCGAAACCCGGGCGCCCCGCTCGGCTCGGGCCGCGGCTCCCATGCGGTTCGGGTCCAAGATGATGCCGGTAAGCGCGCGGGCGGGCGCGGAAGTGCGCGGGGTCCGGGCGGCGCGGCCCGGCTCCAGGTCCCCAGGCCGCGGTCCCCAGCCCAGCCTCCACCCTCGGCCCCCCTGACCCCCCCGGCCCGCCACCCTCGGCCCCCGGCCCGCGGTGAGCTGCGGGCGCGCAGCCGCCGAAACTTTCCTGCCGTCTCCGCCCGGGTCCTCGCTTGGGGCTGTCCTCGAGCGTCGAGAACAGGGGCCCGGAGTCTGGCTTGCTTTGTCTTTTTAAAAACTTTTGGTTGGAGTGAAGCAGACATCACACTTGCCCTTGCCTTAGTTTTGGTTGGGTTTCGCTCTCGGTGTGCGATGGCAGCCCGAGTGTCAGGTCGCAGGAGACCGGAGTGCCCGCGGCGCGTTCGGTCCGCGGCCCCCCACGAATCCCCCAAATCCTACTGAGCTCTCCATCCCTCCAAGAACCCCCGGTTACCCCCCCCCACCGAGTCCCCGGCCCACTGATTCCTCCGAACCCTCCCCAGCCACGCCCCGCTCCCCGGCCCCGCGTCCCCCCACCCCGGCCACCCCCACCCTCCGAGTCCCCGGCCTCATGAATCCCCCGGACCTTCGCCAACCCGCCCGCTCCCCGACCCCCCAAATCCCTCCCGTCCACCCCCACCCCCCGAGTCCCCGGCCCCCTGAACCCCCTGGACCCTCCCCAGCGCCCCGCCCCGCTCCCCCGCCCCCCTGTGCCCCCCGTCCACCCCCACCCTCCGAGTTCCCGCCCTCCAATCCTCCGGCACGCCCCCGAGTCCCCCTGAGCCCCCTGGCTCCCCGAGCCTCCGGCCCCTGAGCCCCCCCCACCAGCCCCCTGGACCTCCTGGTCCCCAGCCTCTGGCCTCCTGGAGTCCCCAGCCCCTTGAATCTTCGGAACCCGGCCCCCAGTCCCAGTCCCAGAGCCTCCGGCCCCCCCAACCCTCCGAGCCCCCGCCCCCTGGAGGCCCCCAGCCCAGGCCCCCCAGGGCTGAAGCAGGAGTGAAGTGGCGCTTTCCTTCAGCGCCCGCGCTGGGAGAGTCTAGCGGGGAGCTAGGCTGGGGGCTCGTGCACGCGTTCCCTGCCCCTTCCCCCCCCCGAAGTTGTGCTCGCGCTTCTCCCCCGGACCAGGGGTCACTTTGCGGCCCTCGCTGTTTTCTTGTGGCTTCGTGTGTTGAGACAAAGAAGCAGGCGACTTTTACCCCATTACCCCATCTGTGGAATGGAGTGAGGACAGATTTTGTTCACTGCAGTTACAGGTGCAGAGTAGAAAGTTTCGTGCCCCCCCCCCCCCCCACGTCGTGGGAGGGCGTCCTAAACGTTCACAGTCTGGATAAACTTGGTTTGTTGGGATTGATCATGGAGTTTGGATGTTTTGGGATATTTTGTTCTGCCACGATTCAAGGAATTGGAAAGTATTGAGTGTTACGCATCTTGGTTTTAGTTTCACACGGTTACAGTCAGGTTTGTGATGGGAATGCTCGGTATTAAAATATGGACCATGGAAGAAGGTGAAGGAGTTTGCTATTAAAATTTTTATCCCTTGGATTTACATTTCTTTCTCACCCCACCCTTTTTTAAAAAATGTTTCTCTTGAAATGACTTTTGCAGATCATCTCTGAATTTTCCTAAAAACAGGAGCAAGGTAAGTATTGGTTGTTGCAATGTGATTTCTTAAGGATAGTTTCATGTCAAAATATGCTTTGGGCTTTCTTAAAACCAAGGAGAATTTTCCTTCTCCCTGCTATATACCAGATGATCAGAATCTCTGAAAGGTTGTGTTGCTCTGGAGACTGTAAGTGAGCAGTATGGTTCTGATCACCCTCCGCACAGACTCCAGCGTGGGGGGCGGCAAGTCCCCTAGTGACAGAGCTACGGGCAGCCAGAACCTCACTACTTGTCAGCTACAACCTTTGTGACCAGAACCATCTCCTTTTAAAAAGTGATTTGTCTCAGGTTCAGCGTCTGTAAAATGGGGATGATGATATTACATAGCCCTTAGGGTGGTCTGAGGATTAGGGTTGCTGGTTCCAAAGCAGTCCAGTGCCCAGCTTGTCTGGGATTTGCAATCCTGGTGAAGCACAGCTTCTTAGTCCTGGGGGCCATACAAACGGAAGGCAAGTTTTTATTTAGTGCCACCCTGTGTCTTTATCCTGTTGTGTCTTGGGTACTTGAGGATAAACCCATTTTCTTAAAAATATTTCTCATCTTTGGCTTTTAATATACTTGGATTTTAATTTTAATGTTGAGTGAGGTTTCATATTTTATTACTTTGAAAAATGCTAACCAGTTGATTGGGAAAAGCAGTGTGCTTCCTGTGAAAAAAATGGATGTAGACAGTTGTCTTGATGTGCTTTTTTTTGGTTGTGGTTAAATGTCCATAACAAAAATTGCTATTTTAACCATTTTTAAGTGTGTAGTTCTCTGGCACTAAGTACATTCCTTGATTTGCTTTTCAAGGCATTCTAAAGATAACAGCTTGCTATTCAGACAGCATTATATTAAAAATGTGCAAATAAATGGTGTTTGTATATTTTCTCACCAAATGGTAGAGAATCAAGTGATTTTCATGTGGAACATGAAGTGATAATTGGACCCAAAACCAGAAGGGGAAGGTGCATTTTAGTAGGCTAGCTAAAAATAAGTAGGCAAACAGCTGAGTATCAGGGTGGAGGTAATGATAGGGTGCGGCAGAGCGGGTGTGATAATTAACACCCATTTTCAGATACCCACCAAAGCATCTCTGATTCTCTGATATTTCTACAACTTGGTAAGAAGAAACTGATTAACCTTTCCTACTTGGCCACCGTAGGAATTTTCCTCATTGAAGGAAGCGTTGTTTGCAGGTTTAGAGTATGGTTTTTTAGTTGAGCCATCCTCACTGTATTTGATTATCAGATAAAGGGAGATAATTATTAAAAACAAAATTTCTCAAGTATTCAAAATTATATCAGATATCTTTTTTCATTACTTTTGTTTTGCAAAGCATTATATTTAAGCAAAGCGTATATTCAGAAATATCTTTATGAGTTTAGCTATCTCTAAAAGCGTTCATTACTCTTTTTAGATGGGGCCTTATAAAAATTCCTGTTTGTATCTGCTATTGAAATGGTAAATTAAAAACCAAACAAAGCTACACACAAAACCGCACGGTATTGTGCAGTGCCACATGGAAGGCCAGAGGACTTGAACTTGCCTGTCTGTCCAGTAGATACCATGTGTTACATGCGTGCCTGGCTGTGATGGACATGCGCTGTGTCTGTCTGTCCCGTACGGTGGCCACCAGCACTTGAAGTGTGGCCAATGGGATGAGGAACTGACGTTTTAAAACAATTATTTAGTGTTAACTATATCTAAACAGCCACATGGGCCTGGTGGACACAGTACTGACCCAGTGGCCCATTTGACAAAGTAGCCCAAAGAGTAATTTTATGTTGGAATCACATATTGGCAGCTTCCTGTTTACATTAATACTTTTTTTTTTTTTAAGATTTTATTTATTTGAGAGAGAAAGCGAGAGAGCACAAGCGGGGGGAGGGGAGAGGCAGAGGGAGAAGCAGGTCCCAGGACCCCGGGATCATGACCTGAGCTGATGGCAGACGCTTCACGGTCGGAGCCCCCAGGTGCCCCTACATTAATACTTTAAAATGAAATCGTAATGACCTGTTTACCCCTAATGGCTTGGGAAATGGGTTTTCCAGTTACTTAGTTTAGTGTTCTCTTGGAACTTATCTCATCGTATGGCCCTGATACAGATAATGATTTTAAGAAAATGATAGCTTATTTTAAAAAGCTCAGTTGACCTGATCAGGATTTAAGTTTTAAATTTGTGGCATTTTCCCTTCCAGGGTTGCAGAGTGTCCCAATTATTTCTAGTTATTCTGTGATGCTGAAAGATGATATCCGATTGTGTGAGCTTCTAGACTGGGGAGTCTAGGACAAAAAAATTGGGTTCTCGCTGTATCACCTTTAGAATAGTCTGATGGCTGGTCGGTAGGATTTATATATTTCTAAGGGAAACTGCACCTCGTGCAGCTCACAGACCAAAGGCAGGACTTCTGCTTAAATACGTGTATTATTTTCCTGTAAAAGGGTGGTCTTATTTGCACATATTTTCCAAACTGAAATTATGTGTTGAAATTAAAAAGCTTTCAAGTTACAGCTTTAGAACATTGTATTTATATGATTATACCATGTGGTGAAAGAATTTCTTCTTGTTGATAGTAATGTAGCAAGTTAACTTAGACTCCAGAATAAAGTTTAAAGTGAGTTCTCTCTCTGTAGAATTGTAATTCCCAAAGGCTGTTAAACAAATCAGCTGTTTTAAAAAAATGCGGCAGATACCTCACATTTTATGTGCTGTAGTGAGATTTGTTGCCTTGTGACTTCTGCTATATTCATTAAAAACTGAAAAGCATTAAAAATTTTCTGTATTTTTACCTCTTTCGGGGAAACGGTTTAGACTTTGTAAAGAACCTTAGCACAAGCCTGCAGTTAAGTTGAAGAGAATTTGTCTGGAGGACATGGGAACGGAGGGTCATTTACTCATATGTTGCTTCTAGGAAGGACTGTTTTCTCTCCCAGTTCCTGTCCCCTGCCCCCCAACAGTAGAAAGTAGAAACAGTAAAACAAAATCTGTT